TCACCTGACAGTGGAACGAGGGAGATCTCACCTGACAGTGGAACGAGGGAGATCTCACCTGACAGTGGAATGAGGGAGATCTCACCTGACAGTGGAACGAGGGAGATTTCACCTGACAGTGGAACGAGGGAGATCTCACCTGACAGTGGAACGAGGGAGATCTCACCTGACAGTGGAATGAGGGAGATCTCACCTGACAGTGGAACGAGGGAGATCTCACCTGACACCAATGCAATAGAAGAACCAAATGTTGTGAAAAGATTGTTTTTGGATTACACATTTTACCTAGAAATCTCAATTGAACATCAAGTTTACTAAATACATAAATTCAGATAATGGAACGTCATAACAACATTAAGGATATCATAACAATCAAATCTTAGAATGTGAGAAAAATCAATATTAAATAATTATAAACTAAAAAATATTTTTTCATATTGTTTTTAAATGAATTTCCATAGACAAATTAACTATAACTAATAGCAGAATCATCCTTAACAGATTGCTTACAAACCATTCTGATGTAATTACCATTAAATATCCAAGCTGTATTGTTTGTTCATACCATCCATTAGTTACATTTTTTCATTATCTTTTAACTGTAACTTCTTATTTATTTTACAACAGTTACGAAATAAGTTACACTGTTGGTCCAGATAGAGATGCATAGGGGTCTGGAGGAATGTGAAATACCGGTCACTAAATAAAACCCCAGCCGCCTTGGTGAAAGAGAGGTAGACACGATACTTGTATTTTATACTTACAGTGGGCATTGATGGTGACACTGGTCTCCAGGAACTGACCTTTGGTCACTTCGTTGGTGCCCTCACTACTTGACGAGAGTTAGACACGGTACTTGTATTTTATACTTCCACTGGACATTGATGGTGACACTGGTCTCCAGGAACTGACCTTTGGTCCCTTCGTTGGTGCCCTAACTACTTGATGAGAGTTAGCCACGGTACTTGTATTTTATACTTACACTGGACATTGATGGTGACACTCGTCTCCAGGAATTGACCTCTGATCGCTTCGTTGGTGCCCTTGCATGTGTAGATAGCTCCGTGCTCCTTGGATTGAAAGTCGGGTGTCAACGTGAGTGTGTTGTGGGCATTCTCACGTTTATCATTGGCGATTGGTTCAACAGTGTATTCGACATTCTCCGTGACAACAACCCCATTTTTGTACCAAGTGATACTAGCCGCGGGACGAGCGTTCCGCACCTCACATGTCAGCTGCACAATCGCGTCTGTGTGTCGGATGTTGACAATTGAACCATTGGGATGGCCGACTATCTTGGGCATTTCTGGAGGCACTGCAAATGAGACATAACATCTTTGTCATTTACAGAACTTTTTCCTGATGTGATCATTGACAATTTGATTATGGCAGAACATACACGTTTTAAAGTCAATTATTCATTCATTTAACTGTCAGAATGTTTGAAATAAAAGTCAGAAGGTCCTATTCTTTCGTGGTGAAGTGGACAGGACATTATCCTTAATGGTGAAGTAAGAAGGACCTTATCTTAAATGGTGAAGTGGGCAGAACATTATCTTAATGGTGAAGTGGGCAGAACATTATCTTAATGGTGAAGTTAGAAGGATCTTATCTTAAATGGTGAAGTGGGCAGGACATTATCTTAATGGTGAAGTTAGAAGGACCTTATCTTAAATTTTGAAGTGGGCAGGGTCATGTATTTTAAAGATAAATGGGCTGATTTAGACCTTACCTAATATGGTTAATTGGGCGGAGGCCTGGAGAGCAGGGTTTCCCTGGGCTGGGAGCACCTGACATTCAAACGTGGCATCGTCCCAGAGCGTGGTGTTGACTATGTACAAGTTGTACCTCTCCGGAGATGTCTGCAGCATGGAATAGCGGGGGTATCCAGGGATAGACAGGTCAAATCCTACAATATATAAACAAGAATACTTCATCAAGCAATGTCCGATTATAAAAATGACCAGAACCAGGACAAGTATGATAGGTGTTTACTCCAGCACATGTGCAGCTGGAGCCAGGATGTGTACTATTAGTCCCTGGACAAGCCTGGAGCCAGGATGTGTACTATTAGTACCTGGACAAGCCTGGAGCCAGGATGTGTACTATTAGTCCCTGGACAAGCCTGGAGCCAGGATGTGTACTATTAGTACCTAGACAAGCCTGGAGCCAGGATGTGTACTATTAGTACCTGGACAAGCCTGGAGCCAGGATGTGTACTATTAGTCCCTGGACAAGCCGGAGCCAGGATGTGTACTATTAGTACCTGGATAAAAATGTTTTCTGTAGTCATTTGAACTACAATTACAATTACTTCAATCAACACAACACTGAACTTTAATAGTCAGCAAACAGTTACCAACATTTCCTTTTTAGCTGGTCAATCATTATAAAATGACCACCAAAGAATTACATCCACTATTCCATAATATTTCCCATCCCCTCAAACCATCCCATAATACTACCCTCTTCTTCAGACCATCCCATAATACTACCCTCTTCTTCAGACTATCCCATAATATTACACGCCCCTTCGGACAATCCCATAATATTACCCATCCCTTCAGACCATCCCATTATATTACCCATCCCTTCAGACCATCCCATATATTAACCATCCTTTAAAACCATCCGATAGTATTTCAAATCCCCTCAGACTATCCCATAATACTACCCTCTTCTTCAGAACATCCCATGATATTGCCCACCCCTTCAGAACATCCCATAAAATTACCCATTCCTGTAGACCATCCCATATTATGACGCACCCCTCAAATCATCCCATAATATTGCCCACCCCTCAAACCATCACTTAAAATCAGCCATCTTCTCAGGCGATCTAGATAATCACAAAATAATAACCACATTGTCAGGAAGCAAAATGATTTAGTCATCGCCATCCTTCTATAGATTTATTAATAAAACAAGTAAAAAAGTACTCTATATTTATCGTAGTCTGGACACATTGATCATAGCCAGCAGCTAAGGCTAATATCTGTCAATGGATCAGTCTATCTCATACATAATATAGCTACATATGTCCCAAACATACCTTAATTTACGTCGTTTCTGAAACAATGATATGCTAAAATCGAGGAACCATTGAATATCCACTATATATACCTATGACTGTTGAAGCGTTATAGAGAAGAAAATAAAGTTTCGGAGGGAAAAGAGCGTTGAAGAGAAGAAAACGTTTTGGAAAGTTTCGTAAGGGAAAGAATGACTCATTAGTTAGTGTTTCAGTAAAGTGTAAGTGTTAAAACTTCAGTCAGTATGCCACGTCCCCAGATATGTGAGGTTTATTCCCTCGTCCCCAGATATGTGAGGTTTAATCCCTCGGGTTCCTGTTAAATATGAACATGACAATAAGACACAGTTTTCTCCTAACAGCTTTGACACCTGTCACTGATGGAGACCTCAACACAACCTCCCCGACTCCACAGTATCATACAAGGGTAGGATGTGTCGGAACAGTTCCCCATAAAATTGTCACAAGTACAGAACCAGTACAAGTTTAGGATTGTTTAGGTTCAGAAAAAAAATTATGTATCAATATCGTATACTTTTGTATAAATTCTCAGATTTTTTTTTGTAAAAATAAAATTTTCAAAATTTGTAACATCAAGCTGACAATAGTGAATATGTTTAGTACGAGACAAGTGTGATCTATTATTTGTGTCGTATCTAGCACTGACCAGCGAAAAGGAATGGATTGCACTTTGCAATAGCTTTCTCAGACAACTCGCAAAAAGTAGAACCGAATGTAATAGCAATCGTAACAATGAAATATAATCGCTGTTGATAGATTTCGCAGACAAATAGTAAAACGCATTCATTTCTCCATTTGTGTTTATCAATCACACCATTTTGGATGACTGCCCATATCATGTTTGGTAAAAGACTCTTTTAAAATAACATCAATCAAACCTTGAAAACGAATGGAAAGTATTTTGCGAAGATATGATAGAGCATATATCGCTCTCTTTCAATCCAGTATCATTTAAACGAAAACTCTGAAAAAAAAGAGAAGTATTTCCCCAGACAATTCTATTGCAATTCTACATGCATCAGTTTGTCAAATCAAACTATATTATTGGAAATGGCTGAAGCCTGGCGTAGCTCGTGTGCACATCCAGATCTAACGAGGAACATGTATAAATCACTGCCGTAAACTTTTTGAAGTATTGTGACAATTAAAGCAGACAGAGACTGATCGAGAAAATTGTGGGTAAACATTGAACAGAATCTGTCATTTTGGAAACGTTTAGATTTGACATGAGTCATACACAATATCTTTGGGGAACTACAGAGATTTTTTTCAGATGATATAGCTAGGTTTACAAGATATCATGGGGAACGCAAGATTTTTTATTTTGAAAATATGAACTCAGGTTTTGTACGGCAATATTTCTGTCTCGCTCTTTTTACCTGAATTTATGAACACATCATGGCAGGCCATACAAACTAAATTACCGTGTGGGGAGGATATCTCGGGGAATACAGAAAAGACAAGCTAAAGGGTTCCCTATAACATGGATTATTATTAGTGCAGAAAGTGAAAAGTTGTACCTGTGAAAAAGTTTATGTAAGTAAACGAAGGACAGAAATACTCCATATGTTTGACCGTATTAAGGCTAATAAGGACCCCTCTCTTACAAGCGTCCCCTTTCCGTTTAGTGAACAGATATACCCCATAATGTAAAACCGTATTAAGGCTAATAAGGACCCCTTTCTTACAAATGTCCCATTTCCTTTAAGTGAACAGAAATACCCCATAATGTAATACCGTATTAAGGCTAATAAGGACCCCTTTCTTACAAATGTCCCCTTTCCTTTAAGTGAACAGAAATAATGTAAAACCGTATTAAGGCTAATAAGGACCCCTTTCTTACAAACGTCCCATTTCCTTTAAGTGAACAGAAATACCCCATAATGTAATACCGTATTAAGGCTAATAAGGACCCCTTTCTTACAAATGTCCCCTTTCCTTTAAGTGAACAGAAATAATGTAAAACCGTATTAAGGCTAATAAGGACCCCTTTCTTACAAGCCTTCCCTTTCCTTTAAGTGAACAGAAATACCCCATAATGTAAAACCGTATTAAGGCTAATAAGGACCCCTTTCTTACAAACGTCCCCTTTCCTTTAAGTGAACAGAAATACCCCATAATTTAAAATCATATTAAGGCTAATAAGGACCCCTTTTCTTACAAACGTCCCCTTTTCTTTAAGTGAACAGAAATACCCCATAATGTAAAACCGTATTAAGGCTAATAAGAACCCCTTTCTTACAAGCCTTCCCTTTCCTTTAAGTGAACAGAAATACCCCATAATGTAAAACCGTATTAAGGCTAATAAGGACCCCTTTCTTACAAACGTCCCCTTTCCTTTATGCGGGACAAGCAATCCCTCTCTTCCCCATAATTTGCAAATCTGACTTGAAAAAGAATTTATTTTCTAAGAATTTTGTTTGTTTTTGTATTTATATAGACATTAGGGAGAATACAGGTAAAACCAATTCAATGTGTATGATGGGTCAGCTAACTGATGCAGATGCTGTGAGGGAGCCACATGCGGTGCTGATAATACTGATCAGAACCGGTTATTGTTGTAACTACGAACAGGTTTAACACTGACAAATTCAGCCAACTTTGTAAAGACGTTGATACGCTGAGCACCAGACTACCTCACAACTTATTGCAGCCAAAATGTCACTGCAAGATCTACAGTTTTCTGTAAGTGACAAGGCGACACAACATTTCAACAAAACGATATAAAAATTGATTTTCTAGTATTACACCTAAAGTGTTTGGCACTTCTAAACGGTGCCAGGATTACCACTCGCTGTTGTCAGCCAACGAAAGTTTACGACTCTGCAATACACTGAACAGATCCGATCGTCGTGAGTAATGTCAGAAAATAATAACACCATGACAACCCCACCTAAATAATAGCAGATCGACGTCCCTATATGCAGGTCAGATTTATTCCATAGGCCAACATGAAGGAGAACTGAAGAGTTTCTTTGCAATTCATACAAAAAGTAAAATGCCTTTTAATGCCAATCTAAAATAAAATAAAAAAATCTTTAAAATTTAAATAATGAATACTTATTATTTAGAAAAACCAAATATATTTGAAAATAAGCATCATCAGGATACAGATTGGCTTACGACTAGAGAACTGGCTTACAACTAGAGAACTCACAAGCCCTCTGGTGATACAGATTGGCTTACGACTAGAGAACTCACAAGCCCTCTGGTGATACAGATTGGCTTACGACTAGAGAACTGGCTTACGACTAGAGAACTGGCTTACGACTAGAGAACTGGCTTACGACTAGAGAACTGGCTTACGACTAGAGAACTGGCTTACGACTAGAGAACTGGCTTGCGACTAGAGAACTGGCTTACGACTAGAGAACTCACAAGCCCTCTGGTGATACAGATTGGCTTACGACTGGAGAACTCACAAGCCCTCTGGTGAAACAGATTGGCTTACGACTAGAGAACTCACAAGCTCTCTGGTGATACAGATTGGCTTACCACTTGAGAACTCACAAGCCCTCTGGAACTTTTGATCTCAGGATCAAAGTCATGAACAAACTGCAACTCCTAACAGCATGAACCACACAACATCCTTTACTGCTGGGCTCACTGGCTCAAGGCCATGTGCCTTGTTCATGCAACTATAGATTGCGCCTCATTCGCATATCGTAATGTTGATATTTTCTAACCTGTTACATGTACATGCATCTAAAGATTTCACATTGCGTATATATTACTTGGGTCTTAGCCCTGATTTACTAAAGCTGTGTAAAATGTGGAGACATTTATCGTGACACCGTCAGAAGCTTTATCTACTAAGCCTTATCACCGTAATTAAACGGCACTAATACCGTATCTTT